ATAGTCGTGTCGCGATCCATGTCTGCTAACCCAGAGCTCTCCCCTTTTGCCCTGGGCCGCAGGGAGCAAGGGTCAGGAGGCCCTGCTGGTTTGTGCCCTATAAGCGCAGGCCCCCTGGGAGCAAAGGGGGCAGGTTGGAGCAATGGGGAATCCCCATAGCAGGTTCTGCCTGTGACACCCCTGCCTGTTGCAGGGGCCACTGTAGGGGCTGTTGGCTCAAGTACCCCAATTCCTGGGGCAGGGCCTGTCTGAGGCAGCAGGAACAGGCGCATGAGCCCCAGAGCCTGTGGGGTGGCCAGACACAGCAGCCTGGGGTGCAACTGGCTCCCCATCGCCATGCCCGGACTGTGCAGGACCTGCCCAGCACCCGAGCCGCTTCTCCCTCCCCAGGCTGGGCAGCTGCAGCTGTGACCAGCTGCATGGTGCGGGTGGGGGCTCTGGCTTGCCTGGGTTTAATCTCCCCTGCCCCTCCCCCAGCCCTCTAGCTTGGTGCCTGGTGATTTGGGGAAGTTTGGTATTAATACAGGAAGCAAGTGAGGACACAGACACTTCCTCTTCCTGTCCTGAGAGTCAGCAGCAGGGATCGCTGAGGAAGCAGGGGAGGGGGCAGGAGGAAGGGCACATGTGGGGCATAGTGAGCTGCACATACCCGGAGACCCTGCCCCCATGGGAGGGGGAAAGGGAGCTTCTGAGCAGCCAGAGTTGTGGGGCACAGGCTGCTGGGCACGTATCCCTCCTTGCCCCAGGGCGGGGTTGGCTTCTCTGAGGTCACTTAGATCAGGGTGGCCTCTCTGCTCTGCCATCAACAAGGACAAATGCAGAGTCCTGCACTTGGGACGGAAGAATCCCAAGCATTGGTACAGGCTGGGGGCCAACCAGTTAAGTAGTAGTTCTGTAGAAAAGGCCCTGGGGGTTACAGTGGATGAGAAGCTGGATATGAGTCAACAGTGTGCCCTTGTAGCCAAGAAGGCTAATGGCGTATTAGGTGCATTAGGAGGAGCATTGCTAGCAGATCCAGAGCAGTGATAATTCCCCTTTATTCGGCTCTGGTGAGGCCACATCTGGAGTATTGTGTCCAGTTCTGGCACCCCTTGGAGAGGGTCCAGCAGAGGACAACCAAAATGATGAGGGGGCTGGAGCATTTTGCTTTTGCTTGGTCTGTCTCTGAAAAAGCCTCCCCAGAGCTGAGGCCTCTGGCTCCTGCTCGGCTGGTCCGTGGCTGGCTGGGGACCGGCTGGTGTGGCCCGAGTGCCGGAAGGGAAGGGGGGCGCTACCCGGGCAGGGGCTCACAGACCGTTGGGGCTGGCCGGGAGTGGAGGCCGCTGTGCTGACCCTGCGGGGCCCTCCCCGTGGCCCGAGTGCCGGAAGGGAAGGGGGGCGCTACCCGGGCAGGGGCTCACAGACCGTTGGGGCTGGCCGGGAGTGGAGGCCGCTGTGCTGACCCTGCGGGGCCCTCCCCGTGGCCCGAGTGCCGGAAGGGAAGGGGGGCGCTACCCGGGCAGGGGCTCACAGACCGTTGGGGCTGGCCGGGAGTGGAGGCCGCTGTGCTGACCCTGCGGGGCTCTCCCCGTGGCCCGAGTGCCGGAAGGGAAGGGGGGCGCTACCCGGGCAGGGGCTCACAGACCGTTGGGGCTGGCCGGGAGTGGAGGCCGCTGTGCTGACCCTGCGGGGCTCTCCCCGTGGCCCGAGTGCCGGAAGGGAAGGGGGGCGCTACCCGGGCAGGGGCTCACAGACCGTTGGGGCTGGCCGGGAGTGGAGGCCGCTGTGCTGACCCTGCGGGGCTCTCCCCGTGGCCCGAGTGCCGGAAGGGAAGGGGGGCGCTACCCGGGCAGGGGCTCACAGACCGTTGGGGCTGGCCGGGAGTGGAGGCCGCTGTGCTGACCCTGCGGGGCTCTCCCCGTGGCCCGAGTGCCGGAAGGGAAGGGGGGCGCTACCCGGGCAGGGGCTCACAGACCGTTGGGGCTGGCCGGGAGTGGAGGCCGCTGTGCTGACCCTGCGGGGCTCTCCCCGTGGCCCGAGTGCCGGAAGGGAAGGGGGGCGCTACCCGGGCAGGGGCTCACAGACCGTTGGGGCTGGCCGGGAGTGGAGGCCGCTGTGCTGACCCTGCGGGGCTCTCCCCGTGGCCCGAGTGCCGGAAGGGAAGGGGGGCGCTACCCGGGCAGGGGCTCACAGACCGTTGGGGCTGGCCGGGAGTGGAGGCCGCTGTGCTGACCCTGCGGGGCTCTCCCCGTGGCCCGAGTGCCGGAAGGGAAGGGGGGCGCTACCCGGGCAGGGGCTCACAGACCGTTGGGGTGGGACAGCCCTGTGTGCGAGGGCTCTGCCCCTCCAACCCGCCTTGCTCACCCCTCAGGACTGTAGGCCATGCCGGGAACGCCACAGCTCCCCCCAGGACTGTGCTGCTGCTGGCCAGCGTGGCACCAGGGCTGTTGTGGGTGGGGCTACAGGAGACCTAGTGCCTCGGGGTGGGGCTGGTCCCCTCGCCCCCAGCTCTCCTGGTGGGGAGGGAGCCTGCAGCCCTCTGGAGTGCGGGTCCCTGGGGAGCCCCACGTGCCAGGCAGCATGATGCTTCCTCTCTGCATGGCAGGGCAGTGCCAGCCAGAGGCCTGTTGCATGGAGGTTTGGGCCCAGCTGCCCATCTGGATGCCCCCTCCGTCCCCTCTGCCAGGTGGCCCCCAGGGCCTGGAGCTGCCCCAGGCCCCAGCTGCTTCCCCTCCAGCCAGAAATCTTCACCGGAGCTGAGCCAAGGCTGCGGCCTGCCGCTCATCCAGCCTTCCCACGGCACCTGCCCCAGGCTGAAGTGACTCCCACAGCCCTGAGTCCTCCCTGTGGGCTGGCAAAAGAACACCCCCCCGCCCCCTCAGGCAGCCTGGACCGCGGCCCGGGCATTGGCGGCTGCTGCTGTGCTCCCAGGCTGGTCTTTCAGGGCGCCTCTCAGGCCCCAGGCCTTGCGCTGTCACGCAGCAGGTGTCCTGCTCTGCTGCGGCTGCTCAGCCCCAGGCCTGTCTACTTACTGAGCAGGTCTGGCTGGGCGCAGCGCTCACAGCTCTCCCCTCGGGGGTCATGGAGACCAGCCAGCATAGGAACCGGGCATTAGAGAAAACAGCCTTTTCAAAGCCGATGTGACTCTGTCTTCCCTAAACTCTGGTCGCCTTGCACTGGTGACCCAGACAGGCCCAGGGTCTCCAGCGAGAGCACGGGGTCCCTGTCTGTGTCTCGTCCCCCACCCATGTCCCTTTAAACCCTGCTGCAGCCCTTCTGGGTTCGTCTGGGTTCCCAGCTGTGCCAGTGGGGCAGGGCGGAGATAAAACCTTGAAAGCTAAGGGGTGGGGTATTGACCCTGAACAGTGCGAGGTGGCTTCTCCACAGCCGGCCGGCCGCCGGCCTCTGCCTGACAGCTCCCCGTGAAGCTAGGCACAGCCCTGCTCAGGCAGCCGGTTAGCTCACCACCCCTAGTACTGCACAGCAGGGCTCAGGCTGCCCCGCGGGGGTCGCGCTTATCTCTGGGCTGGGGGTTGCAGGCCGGGAAGCAGCGCCTCGTGTGTGAGTTCCCAGGGCAGACGGGCTGGTGGGCTCTGGAGGCGGAAGCAGGGAGCAAGGAGAGAGTCCAGTGCAGGAACACGGTGGCCAGTTCTGGCGTCCCAGTGTTAAAAAAGAAGAGCCACAGAAAGAATTGCAGGGGCTTGCGAAAATGCCTCCCCGCGAGGGATTTCAGCTCAGCCGGGCGAGCAGCGCTCGGCGTGAGGCGCGTTCTGGGGTCCAGAGCAGGGCCTTCCGGAGGGGGGTTTAGTCCCGCGACGGCGCTCAGTCGAAGGCTGGGTCCCGGGGACACGTAATGGCCAGTGATACACAGGAAGTCAGACGGGCCGTCTGGCCTGTAGCTCTGTGAGTTGGGCCCCCAGCGCGATGCTGATCCGGAGAGGCATTCAGCACAGGCCCAGAGCCTGGCTCCTGCAGCAGCCCGGCCGAGCGTTAACGCGCTACACTTCTGCTCCTGCTGGAGCGACTCTCCCCCTTGGGGCCGCTGTCACCCGGTGCAAGGGCGTCTCCAGGGCGGGGGTGACACCAGCACCCTGCGGAGAGACCCGGCTGTCCAGCGGGGCTCTCCCCTGCCAGTAGCGTGCGAGCTGCACTTTCACTTCTCCCTCTCTCTGGTCGAGAAACGCTCGCTTCCCTCCACGCGGCGGGGCTGGGCGTCTGTCTGTGCAGGCAGGAGCAGGGCAGTGTCAGGGTGGTTTGGGAGCCCTCCTGGGCTGGCCGTGGGGCACGATGGTGCCGCTCCAGGGCTCGTGGCTCCCGAGCCTGCTCTGGCACTCAGCCTTGGGGCAGACGAGATGGGCCCCGCATTGTGCAGGGCTCTGCTGGGGAGTGCGTCTCCTCCAGCTGGTTCACCCAGTGGCCCGGGGTGGCTGCATCTCAAGCTGAAGGGAGGTGCTGGATCTTGGCCATAGCCAGGAGCTCACCTGTTAGTGCCAGCTGGAGGCTGCTGGGTGATGGCAGAGGCCCTGCTGGAGCCAGGCAATGTGGGATGTGCTGGGAAGCGTTTGCTCCAGGCCCGGGCCTCCCCCAGCTCCAACCTCAGGGACTCGGTGCTGCCGGAGGAAGGTTCCTTGTTTCCTGCTCGGCTCATGATCCGGGTCTCACACGGTACCCAGACCTTCCCCATGTCCTGCTGCCTGGGCTGGTCCCTGCAAGAGCCCCGTGGGGGGCAGCCTCTTCTGCCCCTCCTCGGCGCAGGCGCTTCCTCTGGGCTGGTGCACGGAAAAGCTCCAGTCCCTCTGCGGGGCCCAGGGCCTGGCTGGGGTGCCGAGCGTCGGGGGGCGGCAGGGGAGCTTGCGGTGGGGCGGCCTGTGGTGGGTGGCCATGAGGCAGCTGGCGGGGGGGCAGGGAGAGCTGCTTGTGTGGGGCAGGGGCCTGGCTGGGAGGTGGCCGGTTGGGGTGGAGGGAGGCTGCCCGCAAGCCAAGCCCGGGAGGGGCGGGGGCCTGGCTGGGAGTGTGGTTCTGGGTGCTGACGCTTCTCTTGCTTGGCAGAAGCCCTCTGCCAATGGAGCCCGACCAGGGCACAGCAAGGAGTGTGGCGAGGGGGCGCCGGCCCTGGAGATGGCTGTGAACTCCATTTACTACTCGCGGGAGGAAGGTAGGGCCTGTCCTAAGCCAGGGCTGCTCCCCTGGAGCCACTGGGCTGGTTTCCTGTGTGGGGCGCGTGCAGCCCTTGCTGCCTGGCGGGGTCCCCTGGCCTCTGGGGGGGTGAGAGCGCTGTGACCCGCCCCACTGGGCTGCCTCTGGTGTGGGGCCCAGTACTCAGTACTGCCTGAGTACTCCCGATGGGTGTACTGGTACTGGGCATGGTGCCGGGCTCCCCCTCGCTGTCCGAGGAGGGCTGGGATCGCCAGACTCCTCCCACCCCCCCAAGGGGCTGAGCATCCTCAGGCTTCTCCCCCCCCCACTGCTCTGCCCCCCCTCCCCCCGGCTCTGTCCACAGGGGCTGAGCATCCTCGGGGTTCCCCCCCCGCTCTGCCCCCTCCCGCTCTGTCCCCAGGGGCTGAGCATCCTCGGGGTTCCCCCCCCGCTCTGCCCCCTCCCGCTCTGTCCCCAGGGGCTGAGCATCCTCGGGGTTCCCCCCCCGCTCTGCCCCCTCCCGCTCTGTCCCCAGGGGCTGAGCATCCTCGGGGTTCCCCCCCCGCTCTGCCCCCTCCCGCTCTGTCCCCAGGGGCTGAGCATCCTCGGGGTTCCCCCCCCGCTCTGCCCCCTCCCGCTCTGTCCCCAGGGGCTGAGCATCCTCGGGGTTCCCCCCCCGCTCTGCCCCCTCCCGCTCTGTCCCCAGGGGCTGAGCATCCTCGGGGTTCCCCCCCCGCTCTGCCCCCTCCCGCTCTGTCCCCAGGGGCTGAGCATCCTCGGGGTTCCCCCCCCGCTCTGCCCCCTCCCGCTCTGTCCCCAGGGGCTGAGCATCCTCGGGGTTCCCCCCCCGCTCTGCCCCCTCCCGCTCTGTCCCCAGGGGCTGAGCATCCTCGGGGTTCCCCCCCCGCTCTGCCCCCTCCCGCTCTGTCCCCAGGGGCTGAGCATCCTCGGGGTTCCCCCCCCGCTCTGCCCCCTCCCGCTCTGTCCCCAGGGGCTGAGCATCCTCGGGGTTCCCCCCCCGCTCTGCCCCCTCCCGCTCTGTCCCCAGGGGCTGAGCATCCTCGGGGTTTCCCCCCCCACCGCGCTGCCCCCCCCACTGTTCCTGGGGGCTGAGTGTCGCTGGGTTTCCCTGCCCCTCTCCCGCTCTGTTCCTGGGGGTCCCTCCGCCCCCCACCACTCTGCCGTGGGCTGGGTGCTGCCGGCGTGGCCCTTGGTGTGGGGGTGCCGGGCACGTGTCACTGGTTTCCTCGCTCTGCCCTTGAGGCGGAGGAAGTGGGTTGCCTGGATTCCCGGGCTGCCCGCAGTGCTCGGGGGCTGCTCGTTCCCCTGGCCTGCCCTGGGGTGCTGGGTGCCGTGCGCCGTCCCCGTGAGCGCCTGGCTCTCTTGGCAGCGAACACGTTCTGGGTGAGGGTGCAGAGGACGGAGGCCGCGGAGCGGTGCGCGCTGCATGGGGCCTACGTGCTCAAGGCGGAGCAGGACAGCTTGATCCTCAAGGAGCCCCGGACCCAGGAAACGCTCTACACCTGGCCCTACCGGCTGCTCCGGAGATACGGCCGAGACAAGGTGGGTGGGGCAAGACCTCCTCCCCTCAGCAAGGGCTGGTCTGCCCCCAGCTTGCCAGCTGCCTGGCACTGAGGGCTAGGCCTGCCGTGTGCGGCACAGACAGAAAGGCAGCGGCCACGGGGCTTGGTTAGTGGCTGCTGGGGGCTGGCCATGCCGCGCTTTGGGGGGGTGCCTGCCTCCTGGGACCCTTCTGTGGCTGTCTCTTGCCCCCCCCCGGCCCTGCTGGCTGTCGTGTGTCTGGATCCGCATTGCTGCTGTCCCCATGCTTCAGGCAGCTCTGGGCTGCCCCGAGTGGGTGGGGAGGAAGTGGTTGCTGGAGAGGAGCCGCTTATAGAACTTGCGCTGTATCCTGCAGCGCGCTGCTGCTGTTTCCACTGGGTCAGCCAGCGGCAGACGGAGCGACTCTGCTGTGGGGAAGCGTCTGAGCCGTATCTGCCCGGCGGGAGGGGCTGGGTGTGAGCCGGAAGGCCGGGCTGGGGGAGGGAAAGGGGGGATTCCAAGCTGCAAAACCTCATTTGCCAGAGGCCCTGACCCACCTGCCGGCACGGTACTGAGCCGGTGCAGCCCCGTGACATGCCGGTTGCTAGGAGATGCACCGAGCTGGCTCAGACCATGGTGGTGCCGCAGAGGGGGCTGGGGGTCCCCTCAGAGGCCCCCATAGCTAGAGCCCTGCGTGAACCCCGATTTCACAGACAGCAGGGAAGCTGTGAGCTCAGACAGTCAGGGGCTTCTGCCTCTGCGCTGCTGGAGGAATCGTGGCAGTGGGCTGCTTTGGGTTTGCCTCCTCCCTGGCTAGTGGAGAGCATGCAGCACCTGCCCCTTGGAGCCCCTGGCAGACCCGGGGAGGCTGGCAAGGGTGGGAACTGCCACTGGCAGCACAAGCAGGTGTGGGAGGCCCTGCCCCAGCAGCCGGATCATGGGGGGGAGTCTCGCTCCAGTTCCCTGGTCTCAGCCCCTCCCCTCCCCCCCCGGCGGGTGCTGCAGCCTCTCCTGTGGGACTGCTGCTGGCTGAGCTGTTGTATGATGTAGGCCCCTCCCCCTGCCAGTGGACACGCAGGGAGCAGCAGCAGCCTGGGCCTGCCCCTGGGTGGACAGGGGGCTCCTTGCTCCCCAGGGTTGCATGCCCCTCATCTCCTGGCTGCTTTCGGGGAAGGGGCCAGCCCACTGACCCCCGGCCTCAGCAGCGTGGGGCAGGACAGTGGGCGGCCACACGTCCTCCAGGGAATTCACCCCCCGCGATGCTGTTATCCCTGAAAAACCCAAAGAGAAAGCGGTTTACAGGGGGCCTGCTTGCTGGTGCTGGCACGCCCTGGTGTGTCTCTGGGGCAGGTGGGCTGGGCCAGGGTGGGAAGTGGAACTCATGTTTAGGGGGCAGCCAGGAATGGGGCCCACAGGCTGGAGTGGGGCAGATGCCAGGAGTCCTGCTGCACTTGGTTCGGGCACCCAGGTCTCCCTTACTGGCATCAGCTCCGGCTCCATCTGATTCTTGTCGGTGGTTGCATCCCACCAGCAACGGGATCAACTCCAGACCCTGCCGAATCCCTTCCTGGTGCCCAGCCCCAGTGGTGCTGCCACTCATGGGACTTGAGCCCAGAGCATGCTGGGTGCTGCGGCTCCGCCCGGGAGCCAGCCCCGTGCTCTCGCCTGCATGGCTGCTGAGCCCCGAATGCCTGGCGCAGTTCGGGAGTGGGCCGTTAGTGCAGGGGGGCCAGAGTTGTTCCTGCTGTGAACGCCGGAGATCTGCCCTTGGCAGCTGGCAGCTGTTAGTGGCTGGGACGCTGACCCGCTGCCTCTTCCGGCAGGTGATGTTCTCTTTCGAAGCTGGCAGGCGCTGCGACTCTGGCCCCGGGAACTTCACCTTTGAGACTAAGCAGGGGAATGAGATCTTCCGGCTGGTGGAGGCCTCCATTCGGGAGCAGAAGGCCCAGGTCGAGGAGAACAGGCAGAGCTGTGACTCGCTGGACTTGGATTGCCTTGGCGTGGGGCTGATCCGCAACGCTCTGGCTGACTCCCTGAGCCTGGAGCTGCCCGCCGAGGGGGACGGCTCAGCGGTGCTCAAGGTGGGGCTGGGAGCCAGGCTCAGTGCTGCTCCGGACGAGAGGGACGCCCTCGCTCTGCTGAAGGCTCGCACTCTGCCAGAGCCCCCGGTGCCACCCAAGTCCGCGCCCCCCAGCACGCCTCCACGCTCCCCACTGCCCAAGGTGCCCAGGGCCGTGCTCCCTGCCGAGGACCCCACCATCCTGTACTCCGAACCCATGGACGCAGTGAAGGGCTTCCGGGCCAGGCTGGACCCGCTGTACTCAGACCCCATCGACAGCAAGCGTGGAGGCGGGGCCCTGGGTCCGGGCCCTGCCCAGGAGGAGGGGAAGCTCAGGCTGC